TCATCATTATTCTCATTATTAGTCTTATTGTCATTTTACTACTATTATTGTTATCATCACTTGTCATGATTGTCATCATCATTATTACTATCATCATTGATATAACAATAGCAATAATAATAACAGTAATGTAAATCGAGATGGGCCGAGTCCCTGCCTGGCGGCTTGCCATGAGGGCCGCTCGCGGGTACAAGCAAAGGGTGGACGCGGCTATGCGCCCCCGTCGGCGTTAGCTCCCCGATGATGCTGATGATAAGCATTATTAATATTATTATGTTTCGCCAATGAGTTTATATGTTACTGAAAGCGCTGGTTAGTTGGTTAGCAGGATAGCACACACACACACACACACACACACACACACACACACACACACACACACACATACACACATATATATATATATTATTATATATATATATATATATATATACGTGTGTGTGTGTGTGTGTGTGTGTGTGTGTGTGTGTGTGTGTGTGTGTGTGTGCGTGTGCGTGTGCGTGTGCGTGTGCGTGTGCGTGTGCGTGTGCGTGTGCGTGTGCGTGTGCGTGTTTAAGGAACAACGAAGGGAAGACCAAAAAATCACGAATAAAACCGAAGGCCTTTTCGCTGTTGCTTCACCGGGGCAAACATGTTCTTGCTCTTTCCCTTCGTTGTTCCTGTTGCAATTTGTTCGACATGAATTCCACACGTGTGTATGTGTGTGTGGGTGCGTGTGTTATGCTGCTAAACAACTAAGCAGCCACTAACCAATGCAACCAGAAACAACCTCGTAGGCGGAGGTAAAAAATGATAATAGTGATAATAATGATCATAATAATAAACGTAAGAACAATAATTAAAATACTAATAATGATAATTCTCATGATAATATGATAATAATGTTAATTATTATCCTTATCATAATTAATAAAATCATTATTATCATCATAACCGTTATTATTATTGGTATTACTTCCGCAATTCGGTTAGTTTTTGGTAGCACTGGTTAGTTTGTTAGCCAGATAACTCAAAAAGTTATGAACAGATTATTCATTATTATTATTATTAATAATATTATCATAATTGTTATCATTATCACTTTTATTATTATTATCATTATTATTAGTATTAGCATTATCATAAGTATTATCATTATCATTATTGTTATTGCTATTATCATTGTTATTGTTATTATATCTTTATTATCATCATTACTGTTACCACCATCATAACTAGGGCCATTTCTTCCTTTCTTAAATTTATTATTAATATTATTTAAGTTTTTCGAATGTCATTATGGACATTAATATTTGTCTTGTGTAATAATTTTGATATTTGTCTTGTGTAATAATTTTGATTATGAACAATAAACATTACTATTATCAATATCAAAACTACTGTTATTTTAAGGTAGACTTAAGTTCTGGTTGCGTGTCAGTATCCATCTAATAAACCTAATCAACATGTGACTATTCATATGTCAAGGCATCGAGATGTCAAGGAAGTCAGTGACTCTTTCAGCAATTACAGTAAAGATGTTTGAAGTAATAAAAACATATAACTTCATAGCCCATACAGTGAAAAAGGTGTAGACTGTGATGACGATGAATACAAAAAAAAAAAAAAAAAAAAAAAAAAATTCTCCAATTCTACTTTGTCGCCATTGGAAAAATGACCTACAATGATAATCTGTGACGAGATACGCACATTCTATCTGCCAGAGGATATCGGACAAACCCAAGGCATAATCATTATGTCTGCCTCCAGAGAACCTGTAATGACAACACTAAAAGGACATCACACCATCATTAACCGCTGTTGTAATTATCAAAACGACTAAGACCCCAACATCAGAACTGCAGGTTGTTTCTACAACTCTCGTTAAATTCTTCCACAAGAATGATAAAAAAAACACAGATACACCAAGAACCCTCATTCAGAAACTAAATTAAATTTCACATCAAAATGTTTTCCGAACAATCCTTGACGAAGAAAATGATTGAGGCAGGACATTTCTTCCGACGTCGGAATGCAGAGTCAGCAGCTGTCACAACAGACCCGCCGCTCCCCCCACCTCCCCCCCTCCCAGCCCTTCTACCCCCCCCCCCACCCCGTCATTAATAAGCCTTTCCACCATTAACTTTCCCTTTTGCATTTTCTTCCCCCCACCAGAATTCCCTCTATGCCCACAATAGAAAATAACAAATCACTTTCCACTTCCTGTTTGCGCGTTCCCCTTGGTCAGCGACCCTCTGAGCTCCCTTCCCCCCTCTCCCTGTCTGCTCCGAGCAAACAACCTCGCCATTTTGCTGACTCGCCGATCCTTAACCGGCGAAAACGACCCACCAGCTGATAAGAAAGTTTCTAAACAAGCGAAGTTTACAAGACAAAACAAAATAAAAAACAAAATGACCCTAAACACAACCGCCATCAGAATGTCGCAACTCATCCTAGATGCCAAGAGTGTTTTTTTTTTCACAACTGCCCCCCCCCCCCACAGCCAGCTCTATCAGTGCAGTCTATCGTGATTAACAACTTCACTTGAGGAACAAATCAATAAACAAAAAATGGAGAAGGTTTCGTCACTGCTGAGGAAGCAGAAAAGAAAAACGGTTAAGAGAGGGGGTATATTAGAACTCAACTCCATTCTAGCCTATATATTTTTTTCAAAGTAAATGAATAAAAGAAACTAGGTTATCTAACTTATTTAACCTGACTTCATTTGTATTTCCTGGCCAAACCTAAACTGGTGGGCTCTGGCCCCTGGACCCCCTTCTAGAAAGTAACCTTTTCCTCGAATAGAATAACTACACAAGCATTCTTCACGCTTCCCAAATGTTTTCTCTAGCTATGAAAAGATATTTTCTGTAGCATAAGATATTTAATAAATTGTTGGTTGTAGAATATAATGTACCTGTACAGTAGGCTACAGGCTGGGTCAGAAATGGGCTAGGTTAACTTACCGGTAATTAGAACGCAAAAAATGGGTAAAGATGAATAAAAAGCCTTCTTACAGTTATATAATATTCAAACTGATATCACTACGTAATAGCATCAAAATCACACATTTTAAC